GACATGGAAGCCCCAGCAAAGCTGGCAAAACACGTTCAAAATTAATTGACTTTTTGATTTCTATCAGAATTGAAAACTACTCAATCCCACACCCAGTGATACAGCCGTGAATGGCAGCAATTAAACTCCCTACTTCCAATTACAGAGTTTTACACCATTTTAATCAATTTGCAGTCACAGTTTTGTACAGCAAATGAGCATATGGCTTAGCCCTAAATCAAATCAGCATGGTTTTGTAGGGTGAAAATCATAATCCTGGAACAAGACACCCAAGAATCAAAACTTGCATAAACCAAACAAAATGACAGAAATGTTCCTATATATCATGTTGGCTTATATTTTAGGCCACTAGAGTGGAATTTATAAGCAGATTTGAGATTTGCCTATCAGCATGACCTCACCTATGTAAATATTTATTCAAACACTTGGGCACTTTGGATTTGAAACCAAAGGAAATGACTATAAAAGGGAAACCATCCCAGTAGTTTCTTTTTAAAAGCTGCAAAGCCTCAAAGACCTCACCTTCCAACTAGGCTCTAACACCCAGAGAAACTCAAAAGCTTATGTTTGATTTATTCTTACCTTTTATAAAATCCCCAGCCATTAATCCTTAATGGCCTTTCCTCAAAAGCTTGATAGATAAATTTTCATCTCTGAGGTCGCTTAAGTAGTTCAGTATCAGAGGAAAAGGTTTTGAATTAGAATTAGAGATTTAGGGGGAAAAAAACCACAACCCAAATTGCCAAATTGTCAGCTTTCTCTTCTTTCAACACACTATGAACTCCTTCTGCTATTAGGAGAAACTAAGAAATAAGGAAAAAAAAAACCACCCAAGCACCTGGATTTGAATGCAGAGCAGGTTTCTTTAAACACAGCTGGCAGAGTGCCCTGCTCTCCAGGTCTTACCTCAGCATTCCCGTTTCCATAGTCTCAGACAAGGCTCCTAAGGACTCTCACCATTATCTTCTGACCTTTTCCTGGGTTTTTTTTAGCGTCTTTGTAAAATAATCAGTAGCCAGAGACTGCTGCCAGCACTTGGTGCTGCTGCTTTCAAGGTCCTGGGACACACAGAGCATCAGCCACTCGCAGCCAATTCCCTCCTTCCACATTCCAGCTCCACAACCTTCCCCTGCACCCTGAATACAAACTGAAAGGTGTATTTCACACACCACAGCAGCTCTAAAACCCAATTAGGTCTTGCAAAAAGCTCTCACCTGCACCCACAGATCATAAAGGACAAGCCTTGCCACGTTCCCGTTAAGGAGGTGGAGGGAAATAAAAGGAGAGACATTTTTTTATGGGACAGTTACTGAGCTTTTAATTTCCCCCCCTCGTTACCCACACCCGTTTATGACTCCAAACAAGCACAGGCAGCAGAGAAGGTACCATCTATTACCATAATTATTTTTAAAGCCTTCACCCCACAGGGTTAGGAACAAACAATGACATGCAGCAGAGCCATAACCATAAAACTGCAGATGGTAGCTGAGCTACTTTGTCTTGTCTAATACTGAGATCTCATTAAACTGAGTGCTTAAACCTTAAATATTTGAGAGTAAATGCTAGTTAAAATAGTTAAATCACTCCGATTAAGCAACCTTTGCTCAGCTTCCAAGCTCATTGTTATTTTCGTCGTTTATAGGGTTTGACACTGCTCCAGCTTCCACCTGGGCATCCCCAAAATTCCTAAATAAAGGAAAAATGGAAAGGGGGGATGAAAAAAGAAAGCACTCAAGCCAGCTTTGAGCCTTGTAAAGAAGCTGATGAGAGAACAGACAAATACTTTATTCTCTTCTTTTCTTAAGTTGGATCACCTTGAAAGCTTTGGCCAAAGTGAAATAACAGGCAGAAACTTTTCTACTTCTTTGACCTGGTCTACATAATAACAACAACAACAACAACAACAACAACAATAATAATAATAATATAATAGTCATTGTTGTTCTGGTGGTGGTGGTGGTTTTGTTGTTGTTGTTATATCTCTAAGAAACAAACTAATGTTTGAAAAAACACTGCACCACCACCATGTATGGAATTTTATCCCTGAAATATCGCTGCCTTTACCACATAACTGCAGCAGCAGGAGCAATTCTAAGCAGCAACCCAGAGCATTATTAATTATTTTTGCTTACTGCTTTCTCATCAAGCCACCCCCAAAATTCAAGTAAATGGCTGCCAACCTACCCAGGCCAAAACTGTGAAGATGGAAGAGGAAATGGCACAAGGGAAAAGTAGAATTTATGCAGAATGTTGGTGATATTTAAGCAGAACTCAGAAATCTTCATAAATCAGCAGTGCACAGTAATTCATATTGCTTGAATCACACTTCCCCATCCTTCCACTTCAATGGGATATGGCAGGAAGCAATTAATGGAGACACACTCCCTTGTATATAGCTGGAAAGAATTAATCCAGCATCTCATTTGTGGCATTATCTGCTTGGAAAAACAATTTTTTTCCTGTATAGAACAGTTTGTTTCACACTTAACTCCGGGGATTAGCAGCTCTTTCTTCTTTAAATACACATAAAGAAATTTAATGGCAGCCCACATGGAAAATTTAATCTTCACGACGGCTTTGCTACACATGTAGATAAAGTCTTTTTCACAGAGCCTTTTATCTTTTAAAGAAAATAAATAAAAAGTAAGACATACAAAACCCCCAATTCAAACAGAGACCTGAAATTTAGTATTATGTACTAGGGATTAAATAAGAGCAATAATTTTTGTTATTTCTTCTCTTTCCCCTGTTTTCTACTCAAAACTGCAAAACCTGCTAAGGCTAAGCCCTGGTTTTCATGATTTCTTTTTTTTTCTTTTTTTGCTGCATGCACAGCACACAGCTTTTGCTTTTCTAATCAGTTTTACTTAAAATTTAAAGCCAGAAACTAGTTAGAGTTTAACTTATTTTTGTGGGAGCAAAGGTTGTTAGAAACACTTAAGCCGTCATTAGAAGGATGAATAAGAGATGCTGGATACACACATTTATAAAATACTAAATCTAGAGAGATCTGAAGAGAGATCTGTTGAACCTTTTAAAATGAAACTCCTCCTCTATGAAAGCCTCATACTTTGCCATTGAATCAATTAGAACAAGTTCTGAGGAAGCAGAACACAAAAGGCAAGTGAGCTTTCCACAGATTATCGTTAATGCAGGCTATAATTTCAAGATCCACAACAAAACAAGGAATATATAGAGAGCACATTGTTATTTAGTTACTCCCTGTGTTAGTTCTGGGTTATTTAACCCACCGAGTTTGCAATCAGGTGTTGGGCAAGACACATGTAGGATACAAAATTGATGAAGGGAGTCAGATGCCCCTTTCACACCAAGTCCAAGCGTGTGTCTCACCCTTCCAGCTTAACAACCCCAGGATTCTGTCTAAAAACACCACACGCACACTTCCACAAACTTGTTTTGGCTGCTCGGCTCCCAGGCAAGCTGGCAGCTCGCACAAAGGGGAAGGAGGCAGAAGGCAGAGCGGCAGCACTTCCCCCAAAGCCGCGGAGCACAAAGGAGCCAGCTGTCCCCGGCACTCCGCTCCGGGCTAATCCTCCTGCTGGACAAGCCATGAGCCACTTTGGGACACGGCAATATTTGCCCCCGTGTTCCTCGAAGGCCCAGGGACAGCGAACCGGCCCGGGAATGCCAGGAAGAGTTGGCACAGCTGTGCCCCAACCAAACCAGGCAGGAAAAGGAGAACGGGGGTCAGTCACCACCAGCATTTTTATGAAGGTGACGTTTTTCAGTATCCACAGCGCTTGCATTAATTTAAAGGGGGCAAAACGCTTGACACTGGAGGAGCAGCAGGACAGCCCGAGTCCCTTCACAGCCTTTTTGATCCCGTGCCTCCAGCCTGGATTTTCCAGGTGGCACTTCCAGGTTTAGCTGCCATCCCTGTGCTCCATCAATGCCCGGTCACTGCCAGTGCTTTTCTAGGAAGGACTTTGACTCCTTGATCTGTGAGAGCAGCTGGAGGAACACCCAGGCTCTCTCGCTGCCTCATCCCTCCTTGGCAGGGCATTCAGCTGAAAAACTTCCAACATCATCCCCAAATCCATGAGGTTGTCTCACACCCTGCATACAACGCTTGCTAGAGCTAATTTGTCGCTCAAGGGCAAATTCTTTGTCCTTTCCCACAGTTATGAAACATGTGCTTTGTGCCACACAAAAAGCTATGTGGCAGCACCACATCCTAAACGCAGAGGAAGCTGCAGTTTCGACGTTTCTCATCTGTCAGAAATGAATTTTCCCATCAAGCTGGAACACCAATTACACGGCACGACCCGAAGGAAGTCGCCCTGCCCGAAAAAGTTAGGAGGTTAAACACCACAAAGTTTCAAAATGACAGTTTTCCTGGCTTTCCACTAGGGAAGGGACAAGCACAACAGCACAGTTGTAATGACATAAAAACTACACACAATTCACAAACGCGATGCTCATTCTCAGCACTCAGCTCCTGGCTGGAGAGGGAATTACTGGGAAGACACATTTTCCACGCACAGCCTGCCTTCAGGAGCAATGCTCTGTAACCTCTGTGATGAGCCCAGCTCTGTCAGGGGGAGAAACCAGGCCGGTGCCAAAATCACATCACACCACACTTGGCTGTAACAAAAGATGACTCCAGGGAGTTCGTGCTCATCATCGTTATTCCACGCACGTCAGAGCCACCTCCAACGGCTTTCACTCCAATTAAACCTTTACTACTGCAAAGGGCAAAGGGGGGATAAACATATTTATACCGCGCTGATCGTGGAAGGGGTAATGAGAAATAGAGGGAATGGAGTATTTCACGGTCCTTATTTAGAAACACCCCCCCTCCTCCAAAAAGCCAGGGAACTCCCTCCCCTCAGTGCCTCAAGACATCTCAAGATCATCTCAAGATAACCACACAAACCTGGTGGGTGAGAACTCATCCCTTCCTTGCCCTGAACCGCCCTCCCTCCCGCACCCCCTTTTTTTTGTTGTTGGTTTTTTTTTTAATCCAGCTGAGCACTTGCCTCTCCTCCGTGCCCATCAAATATCCCGAAGATGGAGGGGTGAGTCTTGTTCACCAGGTCGGTGATCACTTCGAACCTGTCCTCCATGTGGTCCCTCCGGCCTTGGATGGAGTAGACAGCCACGTTGTGGCTCTTGAACTCCCAGGTCTTGGAGAACTCAGCGTCCAGCACGTCCAGCCCCCCGAGCCTGTCATTCTGCATGATCTCGGCCACCTTGCCCTTCACCATCTTCACCGCGTCCCTGCTGGACTTAACAATGGTTTTCACCTCATCCGTGTGGAAGAAGTAACTCCACAGGGCCAGGCTGATGCACAGCAGGAACAGGGTCTCCGGTCTGAGCAAGAAGTAACGCATGATCCGACCCAGCAGAGACAGCAAAGTCATGGTATCCTCTATCATTTATTATCGCGACAGTGTATCCCCACAGCATGCACGG